TTTCTATGGCGTTCATGTTTGCAGGGAATTTCTCCCTATATTAATTATCTGGTTTTTTGGAGTTCCTTCTCCATAGACTTCTCTTATAATTCTGTTTCTGTGCATTCGTTGGTAACAGTCTATATTTCATTTCTGAGATAAGATTCTGAGTCTCTCCTTTGTAATCTAAGTGTTTGTAATATGTGTTCATTTGTCAAAGAATAAAGTTTGATTCTGGTGATTTTTAAAAAGATGTACTTATTTAAAGGCAAAGATGGAGGGGGGTAGGGAGGGAAAGAGAGATATCTTTGACTTTCTGATTTAATCACCAAATCAGCACAGTAGCCTGGGCACAATCAGGCCAAAGCCAAGAGTACAGAACTCAATCAGGGTCTTCAAAATGGTGGCAAAACCCCAGGTATTTGAACTAATATCTTCTGCTTCCTATTTCCACAGCAGTGAGCTGGATGGGGAGCAAAGCAATGTGATTGTTTACTTCCCACATACTCCATACAGTCAGGTCCAGGCTTGCCGAAAGCCAGAAGCTTGAAACTCTACAGCTATATCCCACGTTGGTGGCCAGGACCCAGGTTCCTGTGCCATCACATGCTGCTCTCTGTGATCTACATCAGCAGAACAGGTACCAGTAGCCATAACTGTGACTAGAAACCAAGTATATGCATATGGCGCTTAGGCATCCTAACTGGTTGGTATCTTAACCGATAGGCCAAATGCCTATTCCATATTGTATGTTCTTTTTTAAAACATTTTATTTATTTTATTTGAGAGGCAGAGTTACAGACAGTGAGAAGGAGAATCAGGAAAGAAAGGTCTTCCCTCCATTGGTTCACTCCCCAAATGGCTGCAATGGCCAGAGCTGCGCCAATCCGAAGCCAGGAGCCAGGAGCTTCCTCCAGGTCTCCCACATGGGTGCAGGGGCCCAAGGACTTGGGCCATCTTCCAGTGCTTTCCCAGGCCTGAGCAAAGAGCTGGATTGGCAGTGGAGCAGCCAGGACCAGAACCGGCAACCAGATGGGATGCCAGTGCTGCAGGTGGAAAGATTAACCCACTGTGCCACGGCACTGGCCCCTCCATATTATATGTTTGTTTTTTGTTTTTGTTTTTGACAGGCAGAGTGGACAGTGAGAGAGAGACAGGCAGAGAGAAAGGTCTTCCTTTTGCCGTTGGTTCACTCTCCAATGGCCACCACGGCTGGCGCACTGCGGCCGGTGCACCGCGCTGATCCGAAGGCAGGAGCCAGGTGCTTCTCCTGGTCTCCCATGGGGTGCAGGGCCCAAGCACTTGGGCCATCCTCCACTGCACTCCCGGGCCACAGCAGAGAGCTGGCCTGGAAGAGGGGCAACCGGGAAAGAATCCGGCGCCCCGACCAGGACTAGAACCTGGTGTGCCGGCGCCGCAAGGTGGAGGATTAGCCTAGTGAGCCGCAGCGCCGGTGCAGGGCCAGCCTTACCCACAGTCGCCCAGAATGAGAACAACCACACGCCCACCCCCGGGGGCTGGACGAGCAAACTGCAGTTACCCACACCACGGAGTTCGCTGAGCCACAGAGAGCAGAGAGGCACAGCGACAGGGACGGAGCAGATAACAGCAGCGTCACCAGCACGGGCTGAGGGGCACAGGACGCTCGGCCAGCGGCGCGGTGGTGGAGCTGGCAGAGCCCCGGCCTGCGACACCAGCGTCCCACACGGCGCCGGCTTGAGTCCCGGCGGCTGCACTGCCGACCCAGCTCCCCGCTAATGGCCCAGGGGATTGGGCCCCTGCACCCACGTGGGGGACACAGAGGAGGCGCCTGGCTCCTGACTTGGAACCAGCCCAGTTCCAGCCATTGCAGCCATTTGAGGAGTGAACCAGCACATGCAGGGTCTCACTCTCTCTATGTAACTCTGACTTCCAAATAAATAGATGAATCTTTAAAAAAAAGGCTGGCGCCGCGGCTCAATAGGCTAATCCTCCGCCTTGCGGCGCCGGCACACCGGGTTCTAGTCCCGGTCGGGGCGCCGGATTCTGTCCCGGTTGCCCCTCTTCCAGGCCAGCTCTCTGCTGTGGCCAGGGAGTGCAGTGGAGGATGGCCCAAGTCCTTGGGCCCTGCACCCCATGGGATACCAGGATAAGTACCTGGCTCCTGCCATTGGATCAGCGCGGTGTGCCGGCCGCGGCGGCCATTGGAGGGTGAACCAACGGCAAAGGAAGACCTTTCTCTCTGTCTCTTTCTCTCACTGTCCACTCTGCCTGTCAAAAAAAAAAAAAAAAAAAAAAAAAAGCCCTTCTCTGTCGCACCAGGTGCTCCACGTACGCTTGCCAGACCGGAGGGGGGTGCAGGGGGTGCTCCCTCTCATTTTAAGTCTCCTCGCAGTCTTATTTTTCCATCATGGGCTTTTCTTTCTTTCCTTTTTGGCAAATTAATTACGATGCCTGTGGGAAGAGTGGCTGCTTCAGCTGGACTGGCTCTGAGCCTAACCAAACAGCGCGGATTCCAGCAGGAAATGCGGGCCCTCCCCACAATTCCAACCCCACCCTCCAAGACCCTAAAACCACCTTCAGTCCAAAGAGAACCCGACCGCAGAGCTAAAGCACCTAGGGCGGCCATGGGCGCCCGCAGCGCCCTCTGCAGGGTGCGTCGTGAAGTTCACCGCCCACCAGGGACCAGCTGCGCTCTAGAACCTCCTGGAGGTCCCAGGGCAAGGGCCAGCAGCCAGGGTTCACGGGAAGCCGGACAAGGATCAGCACGTGGCTGCGGGCAGTCAGAGGGAGAGGCCAGGGCCTGAGCAGGTGGGACAGGAAACGAGGATGACGGGAAAGCCCGCCCTGGAACAGCTATCTAACAGGTGGGCAGAAGCTACCCCAGCTCAGGGCAGCGCGGTCTGGGAGAACGGGGTTCCACCTGCACTCAGACACTGAGGGCACTGCTGCTGCCAGAGCCCCGCGGGCGTCCCGCCTTATTGGAGTCCATCTCCCAGGGGGCCCCGCGGGCGTCCCGCCTGGAGGATCCATCTCCCAGAGGGCCCCGCGGGCGTCCCGCCTGGAGGACTTCATCTCCCAGAGGGCCCCGCGGGCGTCCCGCCTGGAGGACTTCATCTCCCAGGGGGCCCCGCGGGCATCCCGCCTGGAGGATCCATCTCCCAGAGGGCCCCGCGGGCGTCCCGCCTGGAGGACTTCATCTCCCAGGGGGCCCCGCGGGCATCCCGCCTGGAGGATCCATCTCCCAGAGGGCCCCGCGGGCGTCCCGCCTGGAGGACTTCATATCCCAGGGGGCCCCGCGGGCGTCCCGCCTGGAGGATCCATCTCCCAGAGGGCCCCGCGGGCGTCCCGCCTGGAGGATCCATCTCCCAGGGGGCCCCGCGGGCGTCCCGCCTGGAGGATCCATCTCCCAGGGGGCCCCGCGGGCGTCCCGCCTGGAGGACTTCATCTCCCAGGGGGCCCCGCGGGCGTCCCGCCTGGAGGATCCATCTCCCAGAGGGCCCCGCGGGCGTCCCGCCTGGAGAACTTCATCTCCCAGAGGGCCCCGCGGGCGTCCCGCCTTATTGGAGTCCATCTCCCAGGGGGCCCCGCGGGCGTCCCGCCTGGAGGATCCATCTCCCAGAGGGCCCCGTGGGCGTCGTGCGTCAGAGGACTCCATCTCCCAGCGGGCCCCGCGGGCGTCCCGCCTGGAGGACTCCATCTCCCAGCGGGCCCCGCGGGCGTTCCCGCCTGGGGGACTCCATCTCCCAGGGGGCCCCGCGGGCGTTCCCGCCTGGAGGACTCCATCTCCCAGGGGGCCCCGCGGGCGTCCCATCCATCCCATCCACAGGCCTCCCACGCTGAGGCTGCAGTCGGTCGGATACAGCGAGTTCGCGCGCCCCCTCGTGGCCACCGCGACTCCCTACACAACGCTCAGCACGTGCCCCCCAGCTTTCCCAGGAAAAGTTCGGGGTCCTGCTCATGACTGAAGGCCTCCGTGCGGGAAACTCACACTGAAAGGGGCGCCATACCCCAGGGCGTGTCCGACAGTGTGACAGGCGACTCAGAAGTTGAAACTGTCTACAAAGTATAGCACACACGGACGGTTACAGACAGCAGGTTATTTTGCTTGGTTGTTCTAAAACAAGGCCTGTTCTTCATAAAAATAAACGTTAGCTTGTAACTGGTCCATTTCTAGCCTCTGTACCTCTTTGCTTGATAACGGCCAAGGCCGCCAGACATGGCTTCTGTCTACTCCCGGCTGCCGCCACAAGATAACACAGGTGGCACGAGATCAGTGACACCATGCTTGACCGGGACAACGAATAACTGAATCGTTACTTTTTTTCAATAAGGTTACAGTAAACCTGGCTGATTGGCTAACTACTCACTTCTGTATGCCTGCTTTCTGCTTGCACAAGCCCACGAATAATCAAATGTCGGATAAAAAGTAGGTTTTGCCTTTATAAACCCCACACCACTGCGACTCGGGGCTCTTCTCTGGACTTGCTCTGTGAGAGCTGGCTAATAAAGACTCCTAATTTGACCCCAAAAGTCTCGCAGTGTTTTTAATCTGTGCGCTCCACATTTGGAGGTAGGCCGGCGCCGCGGCTCACTAGGCTAATCCTCCGCCTTGCAGCGCCGGCACACCGGGTTCTAGCCCTGGTCGGGGCGCCGGATTCTGTCCCGGTTGCCCCTCTTCCAGGCCAGCTCTCTGCTGTGGCCCGGGAAGGCAGTGGAGGATGGCCCAAGTGCTTGGGCCCTGCACCCCATGGGAGACCAGGAGAAGCACCTGGCTCCTGCCTTCGGATCAGCGTGATGCGCCGGCCGCAGCGCCGGCCACGGAGGCCATTGGAGGGTGAACCAACAGCAAAAGGAAGACCTTTCTCTCTATCTCTCTCTCTCTCACTGTCCACTCTACCTGTCAAAAATAAAAAATAAAAAAAATAAAAACATTTGGAGGCCCCAGCGAGATCCTCCCCGTCCCTCTTGGGACATGCAGGCTAGCTCCGACACTGTGGTGTAGCCCGACGAGGCTCAGGGGCAGCTGCTGAGAGACGTTCCTCAGCCCGGGGCTGACTTCCAGCACTTCGGCACAGTTTCCCGGAGCCTTCGCTAAATTTAAATGAAAGGAGTCGTCTGGTGCCTCACCGGTGAGTAGAAATTGTTTGATTTCTTCTGGTTTCTGGTCTGTGGGTCGGCCCGTGAGGGGTTGTTGAGAGGCTGGACACAGCACTACTTCCAAACCAGGTCTGAGTGCGAGACGTCATCTCAGGCCTCTGGTCTTGCTTGTCTGGTTTTGGTTAAACCTAATTTGTGTAAGGATCATCTTTGTTCATTCACTGTTGTGTCTCGTTAAGGAGATGGGACAGGGTCTCTCTTCCCGCTGACCCTCCACTGGGTTTCCTCCTGCAAGACTTGGATGAAGTCAAAAATTTGGATATGAAATAAATGCTCTTGATTTCCACCTTTTTTGTGAGTGGGAGTGGCCACTAATCTCTTTATGGCTTTACAGGTTCAAAGGGTGATTTTTGGGAAACCAGGTCATTGTGACCAGGCCCTGTACACTGAGGTCTGGATGGATTTTCTCATAGACCCCCCAACACGGCTGAGAGTCGGCCTAAAGAAACAGATAAGGCCTCTAAAGGAAAGAGTGCTGGGGACCCGAGGGAAGGATAAGCCACCCCCCCAGTCATTCCAAGTCCCCCAGAGGATTCAGATGTCCTAGACCCTCCCCCATATGGGATCCTGCCGACGACCCCAAGTGCCCCTGACTCTTCCACTCCAATGTCCCCTGCGGGCCCGTCGACACCTGCAACTCTGAGGACCCTTGATCAGGGTAGAAGACCAGCCTCATTAGCCCTCCACACACATGGAGGGGGGCGAGGTAGCCCCTTTACCCGCAGCTGAGGAGTTTCCAGATTCCACTCAACCCCTCGTTCAAGTCCCCCCTTTACACCAGGTGCCTCCCCGTTGCGGGAAGGCAGGCTTCCTGCATGGTGGTTATTCCCTTTTCCACTAGCCATCTGTATAGCTGGAAACAGGGAACCCTTCTTTCTCGGAAAAACCGCAGGCTCTAATCTCCCTTCTGAGTCTACTCTCTTCACTCACCAACCGACTGGGATGACTGCCAGCAGCTTCTGCAGACCTTCTCACCTCGGAGGAGAGATCGCATCCAGCGAGAGGCCCAAAACCCGTCTCGGCCCCGACGGAGAGCCTTCCTCTGAGCCCATCAGACAGGAGAGAGTATTTCCCCTTAGCCGCCCTGATTGGGACCCAAATGATGGAGGTAAAGAGGCTCCCAACCAGTATCGCCAGATTCTTATAAGGGGGTATGCGCGGCAGCCAGAAGCAACTAATTTATCTAAGGTAAGTGAGACCATCCAAGAGCCAGTCCCTGGGAGCTTCTCTTGGGCGCCTCTTTGAAGCATGCTGCGTGTATGCTCCCACAGACCCAGAGGCCCCTGAAAACAGTCGTGCAATTAACGTGGTGCTGGTATCACAGTCGGCCCCGATATCAGACGTGAGTTACAAAGTCTGAAGGGTTCAAGGCAAAGCTCTGAATTGGCAGAGGTGGCTCAACGGGTCTATAATAATGGAGATGACCCTGCTACTGTCCAGACAAAAAAGATGGCCAGAATTACGGCTTTAAGAAACCCTGGAAGTAGCAGTGTGGCCTCTTCACGCTGCCTGTGCCTAACTCATTCTGAGACTATGTGTTTACAACACTTTCTAGAATGTAAGATAAAATATATATACATGAAGACATGCTTCCATATGTGTGATCTTATTGAATACAAAAACTGTAAGGAAGTAAGGTCAACACAGTTAAACTTATCCAACATACATATAAGGAAATAAATTCAACTACTTTTTTGTAATCAAAACCGTTTATCCTGATTGTGTCTGAGTAAATCAAACAAACTGTTAAATTAGCTAAGTTAGGTAATCACATTAAGTGTGCCCCGCTTTAGTTAAATGCTATGGGTACATAAGGTGTGTGTACAAGGTACAGGACTGTTAGAATAATTACAAGTATGCTAGAAAGTGTGTTATAAAATGTGTTGCCATACTAGACCATGTATCTACACATAACTTGTTTGGTAGGTAATTTGCTAAATTGTTAAATTACTAATTGATACTAGCAAAAACAACTGTAAAATAACAGACTCATCAATATGTGCTGCAGGTATCTACTGAGCCCAGAGACAACGGTAAGACAACAGACCCATCAGTCTCTGCCGCAGCAACACTGTGCGGCATAGTCTCAGAGAGATGGTACAATGGTGTTAACCGACTCCTCCAGAGGCTGCAGTATGTGAAACCTTGAGGCCCCACCTTACTAGGCCTCCAGTTTCAGGGGATGAACTGTAAGGAGCAGAAATTAAACCACTTCACCACAACATTAACAAGAAATACCCAAGAGCTAAGCTGACTGCAGATCTGCATAGACCTGATAAGAACCACCCATGGCCCACACCCAGCCTCCTGGGGACCTCCTTGGTCCTACACTGACCCCCAAAAGTCTGCAGACTGAAGAGGCCCAGAGAGACTCTGAACAGACGCTCCTGAGAGCGGCAGGCGAAAGCCCCGGGTTGACCCACCACACTCAGACCTTCCCGCAAAAGAGTTCTCTCAGCCAGGCCTGCTTGCCCAATGCCGAGGCGCTGAGCTAGCCCGACGCCGAGGCTCTGAGCTAGCCCGACGCCGAGGCGCTGAGCTAGCCTGATGTTGAAGCCCTGCTCGTCTGAAGCAGAGACCTGTGTTCTGCTCAGAGGCACCACCCTTGCGGATGCTTTCAGAAGCCGCCCTCTGTGGCTGAGACACTCGTGGGGTGCACCAGAGGTACTCTGGGAACCCTGGGAGGTCGGTTTGCTCAGTGTGTTATGTAAATCAGAATGTGTGACTTCCCCACTGCATAATAAAATCCTTATTGGAACCAACACAGCCTCGGTGCCGTTACCCCATGCATGACAAGAAATAATGTATTTATGTATAAATTTATCATCGAGGCAAGACTCAAACTCCCCAAGTTGCAGAATATTAGTGGTGGAAATGAAATAAATACAAAATAAGCATAAGGATATGCCATGCTAATGTATTAGGAGACTTAAATCTTTTTTTTTTAAATTCATTTGACAGGTAGAGTTATAGACAGTGAGAGAGAGAAAGGTCCTCCTTCCGTTGGTTCACTCCCCAAATCACCACGCCGATCTGAAGCCAGGACCCAGATGCCTCGTCCCAGTATCCCATGCGGGTGCAGGGGCCCAAGCACTTGGGCCATCCTCCACTGCCCTCCCAGGCCACAGCAGAGAGCTGGACTGGAAGAGGAGCAACCAGGACTAGAACCCAGTGCCCACATGGGATGCTGGCGCCACAGGTGGAGGAGTAACCAGGTGAGTCCCGGCACTGGCCCCAGAAGACTTAAATCTTTAAAGACTGCAATACCACCCAAAGCAATCTATGGTCAATGTGATTCCTATCACAATCACACGGACCTTGGGGCATGTCTGTTAGAACACCCATCCTAACATTCTCGTGGGCATGTCTATTAGAACACCCGTCCTAACATTCTCATGGAATTCCAAACAGGAATGGCCGAAGCTGAACTGAAAAACAAACACAAATGTAGCAGATTCATGTTTCTCAATTTAAAATCTTAACAAAAAACAATGGTAATTTTAAAAACCCTAAATATGAGACAAAGGGATAAACTGTGCAATAAAACATACAGATAAATCTGCATAACTTTAGATTTCACATTTCTTAGATCTGACGCCAAAAGCACAAGCAACCAATAGAAAAACCAGACACACTGGATTTCCTCAAAACTAAAAATATTGTCCATCAGAAAACACTACCAAGAAAACTGTCAGACAAAAATAAAAACCATTTTCTCCTCTGACTCAGCGGTCCACATAGAACACCTTCTGATGAGATGGGGGTGGTTTAGAGTCCTGTAGACCAGTGCAATTCCAGTGCTATCTGCCTGGGGACAGGATCAGATACACAGATTAACGGCTCAATCATAAAAGACTGTTCCCACTTCTGATGCAAATGGCAAAATTGCTATTAATAGGGTCGCAGGTGACCACGGGACTTCCATTTGACTTGGATACTAATCAGAGGTTCCCACAACCACCTTCTCTAGTTTGATCATTTGCTACAGTAGCTTACACAACCCAGGAAAACAGCACACTTGCCATTCTTGATTTATTACAGTGTATACTAGAAAGGCTACAAACGAACAACCCATGATGGTGTGCACAGGGTAAGGCGGGTGGGGAGACTGCGGAACTGTCACAGATTCTCAAGGTTGCCTCCCTCCCAGCACCTCCACGTGTTAATGCAGAAACTCTGAACCCCATCCTTCTGGACTCTTACTGGGTTTAATGAAGGAGTCAGCAGGATTAGATCACTGGACACTGGTGGTCACGGCAATCTTCAGTCCCGCTTCACAACAATACTTGGAGTGACACGTGTTCTGTTATACGACACACACTGCAGGAGGGTGCTTCAGTAAACTCCCAGGCTGGAGAGCGGGCGTTCAGCCACACCACAGTGCTCTGGCTTCCGGCAAGTGCAGATACTGGGAGGGCAGGGAGCACTGGGATCATTCACTGTGTGGGGTGTGTGTCCTCAGCACCCCCCCCACCCCGACTCATTTCCCTTTTCAAGATGAAAACACGAGCTCTACTGTCGGGGGTGAACACCTAGTGACAGCCGTGTGAAGGCTGGGTCCCGGCTGGAGCACGTGCCGATCACAGGGGGCCGCTCCTTCGCTCTTCCGCCTTGTGCAGGGAGCAGGGGCCATCAGTCTACGCACTGACTCAGCCGCACACAGCAGAAGCCTGAATGCCAGCCACGCCAAAGACACAGTCAAACTCACTTTCCACCAAGGAGGCAGGGTGAAGCCGAGGGAGAGATACACAGGGGACTGGGACACAGGGAGATGGCGACAGGCCAGAACTGCCCAGAGGAAGATGTGTGTACTGGGGAGGCGGCAGTTTTAGGCTCAGGCTCTCAGGGCTAGGGGACTTTCTGCTGGACCCAGTCCCCACCCCCAGTGGCTGCCCATGGAACCCTGAGGGCCTGCGATGCCTGCGCTTGGCAGTATCTGTGCTCCCGAGGCACCCCAGGGAGGCGTATCCCTGCCGGCCCTCCCAGAATTTCCCAAAACTGCTCTTGTCCTCTGCCCACACTGAGTGTGCGCTCCTGGCCCTGCCTGAGAAACAGCTCGGGCAGGGGTCCTGGCTTCTAACGTCGTCCCCACCTCCTTACTCCCACACGGGCAGGCACGAGGAGCCCCGGCGGCACGGAGGGTTTGCAGCAAAAAGGGAACTTCACTGGCGCAAGTTGGGCCGTGGGTCCCCGCCCGTGTCTGCGAGTCAGCGGCAGAACAGGCGAGCAAGGGGTACAAGGGAGCGACACCAGCTCGGGGTGAACATTCTGCAGGAATAAAAACAAATACATTTGGGGGGGGGGGGACTGCATTCTGCAGCTCCGGCACCGAGCTGGCCACCCAGAGGGCGCAGGCTTTGTAAAAGTGGCTCTTTGGTGACCACCGTCACCAGAATAGGGCTGCTCATCCGCCTCTCATCTGCTATGGGCACAGCCCCTGGGAACATGGTGGCAGGTGCCCGGGGAGGCCACAGCCCCGGGCATTCCCGGGCCGGTCGCTCCCGGAGAAAGGCAGTGGCCTGCACCCTCCGTGCGTATCATCGTGCCAGAGGCCACGGGACGGACTTCAGGTTAGCGCCAGACACGCGTGCTGGGCTTGGGGTGGAAACCGGACTCTCTGAACTCCGTTTTTCCACCTGAAGCCCTTCCTCTGCCCAATGCTCGGAAGACCCCTCCCCACCACCAACCCCGGCCTGCCACCGAGGCCCGCGCAGGGAACCTTTTCCTCACCTCCGACAGCGCGAAAAACATCCCCGAGGACTCGGCTCTGGTTTCTCTGACAAGCCTGAAGCCAGTCAGAAAAAGCGGGTTCGCGCGCCGGACCCTAACCCTAGGAATCCTGACCTTTGACCCAAGCCTCAGCACAACCCTAACCCTAACCCTACGCTGATCCCCTGACCCTGACCCTAACCCTAGCATAACACTGGGGTTGGAGAGGAAGTGGAGAATCGTTAGCACCGCTGATAGCAGGGAATGTTGAGTGGTGTCGCCACTGTGGAAAACAACCCGGCAGCTGCGCCAAAAGAAAGACAAGTACCGTGGGACCTAGCGATTCCACTTCCGGCTGTCCGCCGGCAGCCGCCGAGGATGCTGGGTACTGTAGTCCGCGCTCTCCCTGCGCAGCCTTCACCGCGAAGGCTCAGGGCCACCGCCAGGGATTCTGGGTACTGTAGTCCGCGCTCTCCCTGCGCAGCCTTCACCGCGAAGGCTCAGGGCCACCGCCAGGGATTCTGGGTACTGTAGTCCGCGCTCTCCCTGCGCAGCCTTCACCGCGAAGGCTCAGGGCCACCGCCAGGGATGCTGGGTACTGACCGGCGTCTCTGGGAGTTGAAAATGGCAGATGCGTCCGACCACCCCGGGGGAATCTCGGTAGTGTGGCCTGGCGCTCTGCACCGCGCAGTCCTCACCGCTGGACGCTGCGTGCTAGCCCTGGCACCCTTGGGGATTCCAGGGGCCTGCCCGATACCGCCAAGGATTCTGCGTAGGGTAGTATGGCGCCTTGCTCGCACAGCGTCGTCGCGGAGGCCTCTGGGAAATGTAGTCTTTGAGGTGCAGCAACACAGCCACACAGCAAGGCTGTGTAGACACTTGGAGCGAACCCCAACTTCATGTAGTTCCACGTATAAAAACTTCACTTGCATAATGAAAAGGACTCTTAACACAGCCATAATACCATCTTCACATAAAAAATAATAAAAACGTGTTAATATCAAATCAGTAGAGATTCCTCAAGTTATTTCAAATGTCACAGATCTAAAGAAACCTAGTTTAGAGTAGGCGCATTTGGGTGCCAGTTGGATCCCGGCTGCTCCACATCTGATCCAGCTTCCTGCTAATCCACCTGGGAAAAACTGCAGAAGATGGCCTGGGAGTTTGGGCCCCTGCCACTCCTGCAGGAGACCTGGATGAAGCTCCCCATTGCAACCATCTGGGAAGTGAACCAGAGAATGGAAGATTCTCTCTCTCTCTCTGCTCTCTAACTCTTTCAAAACAGGAAAAAAAAAAAAAAACTTAAAAAAAAAAGTGTTTAATCCTCCGCCTGTGGCACCGGCATCCCATGTGGGCGCTGGGTTCTTGTCCCAGTTGCTCCTCTTCGAGTCCAGCTCTCTGCTGTGGCCTGGGAGTGCAGTGGAGGACGGCCCAAGTGCTTGGGCCCCTGCACCCGCATGGGATACTGGGACGAGGCACCTGGCTCCTGGCTTCAGATCGGTGTAGCTCCGGCCGTAGCAGCCATTTGGGGGATGAATCAACCGAGGGAAAACCTTTCTCTCTGTCTCTCACTGTCTATCTGTCAAATTAAAAAAAAAAAAAAAAAAGGAACACTCATTCCATTTCATTAACACATTTTTTGTAAATATTTATTTATTTGAAAGGCAGAGTTACAAAGAGGCAGAGGCAGAGAGAGAGAGAGAGAGAGAGAGAGAGAGAGAGTTTTCATCCATTGGTTCACTCCCCAACCGGCAGGAGCTGGACTGATCCGAAGGCAGGAGCTTCTTCCGGGTCTCCCACATGGGTGCAGGGGCCCAAGCACTTGGGCCATCTTCTACTGCTTTCCCAGGCCATAGCAGAGAGCTGGATTGGAAGTGGAACAGCTGGGACTCGAACCAGAACCCATATGGGTGCCGGCACTGCAGGCAGTGGCTTTACCCGCTTTGCCACAGCACCAGCTCCTGGTTAATACATCTTAAGTCCTCCTCCTTCTCCATTTCCTTTTTTTTTTTTTTTTTTTTTTTAACAGGCAGAGTTAGAGAGACAGAGAAAA